CCCCAGCCCCGCAGCCGCCTGTCACCTGCACAGGGTGACCACAAGGACCGGAGCTCTGCACTCCAGGTAACCAGGTTGGAGCCACCGGCTGCCATCAGGATCTGGGCACCGGGTGCCCAGGCGCCCTCAGAAGCGGAGCTGGATGAGGTAGCGGATACGACACTGGCTTTCCTGGTAAATGAGGTACTCGCTCTGGCTGAAGGAGGAGTCCTTGTAGGCGGGCATGGCGATGGGCTTGCCCTGGCACACCAGCACCTTCCTGCCATCCAGCAGCACCTCCTCATCCTGCGCTGGGTCTGGACAAGAGGACACCTGCCATGTCAGGCACGAGCCCGGCCTCTCCTGCAGCCCCCTCATGCCCGGGGCTCACCTGGCTCTGTCCGGCCGCAGGCCAGGACGCTGTCGTAGCCGGCCGGTGGCCGACACAGTGCGGGGTCATCCTGCGTGATGCGATACGGCTCGCCCAGGGCCACCTCGCTCAGGAACATGATGCCAACCCGCTGGGACGTGTAGCGCACTGTCCGTCAGGAGGGAAGAGGGCACCAGCCCCAGTGTTGCCATCTGGCTGTGCCAGCCGCCTGGGATGCCCAATGGCCACCCAGGGGACAAGCAAGGGGAGCTGGGCTTGTGTCAGCCCTGCGGGCACCCCCAGGAGTGGAATTCAGGCTGTCCCAGGGCCCTTACCGTAGCCGGCTGACTTGCTGTTCTCTGAGGCAAAGTAGATGCCCTTGCCCACACGCCCACCCGAGTGGGGCATGATGCGCAGCCCGCTCTTCAGGATGGCTGCGATCACCGCCACGTTGGTGCCGTGCCAGAGCAGGCGCCGGTGCTCCAGGTGGCTGTGGGCCTTGAAGAGCTCATCCTGCAGAGATGCCCTGCTCAGAGCAGCCGCAGAGGCAGGGGCAGCTGCCCACCTGCCCTAGCTCTGTCCCATCCCCATCCTGCAGGCTTGGGGCAGAGAAGAGGGATATCCGAGGTGCCCATTTGCCCTCAGCCATCTGGGCTCAGGCCTCCCCAAGCCATCAGCGTCAGGACAAGCGGGTGCAGTCCCCAGGCCGGGGGCAGAACCAGGGTGCCCGGCTGCAAGGCAGGAATGGGCGGCTCCTCCTGCTCACCTCGCCCTCTCGGGCCACCTCCCAGATGTTGAGGACCTGGAGCTTGTTCCCAGTCTGCACAATGTAGTTCTCGATCAGCTGCGAGAGAGGGAGCCAGAGAAGCAGAATCACTGCAGGCAATCAGCAGGTCCCCCAGCGATGCCCACTGTCAAGCTGGCGTGCCATCCCGGTCCAGCCCGCGCCCTCCACGCCGTGGAGGGGGACGAGCACCAAGGAACGCCCTGCTGCCCCCGTTGCTCACTGTGCAAGGTTGGTGAGAGAGGGATCCGGTGCCCCCAGGCCCTGCCAGGTCCCCCCTGTCCAAGGGACGCTGCGGCAGGAGCTGTACCTTGTACTCCCGGGAGGAGGGCTCCAGCAGGGAGAGCTGGCAGCAGAGCAGGGCGTAATCCTGATCCAATGGGTGAGGCACCTCTTCCTCCTCTTCCTCTTTCGCTTTCTGCGCCTGCAGGCTCTGCGCCAGCTCAATGTCAGCCAGCACCTGCCAGGCACCAACCACGGGCATCACTGCCAGAGCTCGGCACGGCCATGGCCCTCCTCTGCACCACTGCTGCTGGGCACCACACGGAGCCCCTGTCCCGTGCCAGCCCCAGAACCTCCCTCCCCCCGGCACAACGTGCCACCCCGGTGGGTGCCAGGCACCGGTGGGCACGGGGCAGCGGGCGCCTCACCAACAGCATGTCCTTCTTGGCACGCAGCAGGCTGTGGGAATCGATGGGGGGCGGCCGTGCCCGCCCGAAGTTGTGGGGAACGATGGTGTAGAAGCGGGAGGAGAGCTCCTGCAGGCGGGGGGCCCCGGCCGGCTGCTCCCGCAGCGCCGCCTCCAGCTCTTCCAGCGCCTCAAAGCCCCTGGCGATCTGCTGCTTGCTCAGCTTCCCCAGGGGCATCTTCTTCACATCTGGCCGGGAGAGGGCAGGGAGGACTCTGTCAGCCCCTCTGCCCCCTCATGCTCTCTCCATTGCCCCATGGTTCTTTCTATGCCCAAGGATCTCAACTATTGCCACAGGCACCCACGGCTCCAGAGCAGGTCCTGTCCTGCCCCGGCACAGCCCATGGGCTTCTGCCAGGGCTTGGGCTACTGGAGGTGGTGCTCCTCCAGCGTGTCCACCTCATCCAAGGGCCCTCCCCAGCATCCCACCTTCAGCCTCAGGGCACAGCCCCCAGGGTCTCCCCACCAAACCAGGTACCAATGTTCATGGTCTGCATGGCATCTCGGAACATGTCGTTGCTGAAGATGAGGGAGACCAGATCCTGCGTCGCTTTGTCCAAGGTGCAAGGCAGGACCCGCTTCTTGCAGACCTTGGCCCCATCCACGTCATCCACCTGTGGGCACATGTGTAGACCCCCAACCTCGCTGTGACCCCACGGGGACCAAGGCATGGGCTGCTACTCCGGAGAGGAGCAGAGCTGGGCCTCTGTGGGAGCAGAGGGATGAGCAGATGCTGCTCCCCCTTTCCAGGCCTGGTATCCCAAGGAGGGACCCTGATGTCCCTCAAGAAGGATCCTAGTTTGACTCCCCCATATTCAGCCCACCACTCCAAATCCCTGCCCATCTCTGTGCCCAGGGGCCGGGTGTGAGGAGCATAGGCCACCCAGCGCCAGGTGCCTCGCGCTCACCTTGACAGAGACCTCCGCCTCCTGGGCTCCCCCCGGCTGCACCTCGATGAGCGTGTACTTCCCCGCATGCGCCACAAAGTTCGCCCTCTCTGCCCAGTTGTTCTTGGTCTTCTCCCGAAACTTCTTCTCAAAGTCCTTCTTGGCGGCTTCCAGGGAAGTGAAGGGCACGAGCTTGTTCTGGCCCACCTCCCCCTGGCAGCACAGGCACCCATCAGGATGTCACCCCGTGCGGTGGGTTGCCCACAAGGCCCGTTCGGCACGGCAGGATCATTCCCAGTGCCATGGCTACCTGCATGCTCCAGTGCCACATGTGGCTCTGCTCCCCTGGTAGGGTTTGGCACAGGCTACACTGATGGAGCAGCTCTGAGCAGCAAACCCATTTTTGAGGTAGCCAAAGACACAGCAGGGCTATGAAATCCCACGGCTCAGAGGTGCCCTCCCACAGGGCCCCCAGCACAGGGACTGTGTGGTGGCCAGGGCTCCCTGCGACCAGGGTGGTGGGTGCAGACTCACCACGCGGCCCCAGTGGTTCCAGGTACTGTAGGCACCGCCGTGCTCGATGAGCTGGATGATGTAAAACTTGTTGTTGTTGGCGCCGATGTCGCTCAGGTTGAGGGTACAGTCATAGTCTTCATAGACCTACAGTGGCACAGATGGGGTCAGCACCTGGGCAAAGCCTTGGGGAGGCATTTGTATGGGACAGGGACTGTGACAGCCTTTGAGGTGGGAGAGGGTTCCCCAAGGGACATCCTAAAGGGGTCCAGTGTGTCTGAAATGGAGAATGGGCCTGTCCTGGTGTTAGCATGGCAGAGATGACCCCAGGATTAGCTGGGGTGTGGGTCACCCTTCTGCTCTGCCCACCTTCCTACTCCTGAGGGACCCAAACCACCACTGCCAGGCAGAAAGGTCCCAGCTCTGCCACGTCCTCGCTGTCTCCCGATGCCCAGGGGCAGGCACAGCCCCTGCCCTGTCCTTACCTGGGCTCCCGCCACCTTGCTCAAGGGACACAGCCCATCAATTGCGGCGGGAGGCTTGTCCTTGGGTGCAGCCTTCAGGGTGGCCAGGGTGGACTGCCAGGGGTCATCCTCCTCCCCGGCCTTGGCTTTCTTGCCTCTGCTTGCTGGCTCCTTGCCCAGGGCTTTGCGCTTGGAGGCCATGGCTGAGGAGCACCTGCGGGGCCAGCACAGGGTTACTGTCTGCCCCAAGGCCTGGGCAGAGCAGAGCAGGAGCCCAGAGACACAGAACTGTCCTTCCCCCGTGTCCCGCTGGCCTGCACCTCCCTCTGCCCTCTCCTATACCCCATGGCCCCTGCCATGAGGGAGTGAGGCCAAGGCCGAGCAGGAAGCAGCACCTCTCTGCCAGCCACGCTTGCTCCAAACCATCTTGTCCCTGTCCCTCTGCTCGGCGGGGGCCCGAGCCCCACAGCCCCCTCTTGTTAGAGGGGATCCCTTCCCCAGAAGAAGCTGTAGGGTACGGCGGTCGGAAGATCTCGTGCTATGCGGAAAGAATAGGGGAGATGGGCACGTGCAGGGGAGATGGGCACGTGCCCGTATAAGGCGATGTTAATGCTATTGGCTACGGGGGCGCGCTTCTGCACACAGGCGCCCTATATAAGTTCGGGAGGACTAGTGTGACATGTTGGCCCGTGGGGGCACCCCCTGTCGCACCCCCGGTTCCGCCTCTGGGAGCAGGGCCAGGACCGGGATGCCCAAAAAAGACTATCCAGGCTCCTCCGGGTGCTCTAGCAGTTCCTCACCCTCTTCCGTCTCTCCAGAGCTCAGAGGTCGCTGCCTGCATCGACCTGCACCTTTACTCTGGGCTCGTGCTTCTCCGCATGAGCGAGCTGCACCCAAGCACAAGCGCCCAGCTACAGCGAGGGGCTGTGTCCCCTGAGCAAAGTGCCAGGAGCCAGGGGAAGGAGCGGCAGGGACACTGCGTCCGGTGCGCGACGTGGGAGCGTCCTGGGCGCCGCTCCGGTCCTGGCCGCGCTGCCTGGGGGCTGCTCTCGGGAGCCGGGGAGCTGGAAGCCAACGCGGATTCCCCTCGGCTGCTGGTTGCGGAGCTCGCCGCGTCTGACGGCGAGCTCGAGGGTGTCGCAGAGGCGGAGGGCGACGCGCGTGTTTGCCGGCTTCTTGAGCTGGAGCCGGGAGCACGAGCAGAGCTGGGAGGGGCCGCC